ATGATCACAGAATATTATCCAATTATTTTAGGTGATTTTGATATTAGTTTAGATATAACAAGTAGAACAATGAATTTATTCACAAGAACAAGTGGAATTGCTGGTACATTGGATTATTTAGCACCTGAATTAGTGAATGGAAAAACATCAGCAACATTTAAATCTGACATGTTTGCATTTGGTAAAACAATTAAAAATTGTATGAAAGAACAAGAATTGAAACAATTCAAATCATTGAATAATTTATGTGATGAATGTTTGAATTCAGATGTAAATTTGAGACCATTTGCATCTGATGCACTTGCAAATGAATTCTTTTTGAAAGGAACATTATTAGATGAAGTTAAAATTCAGAAACATGTTCAATTAATGGAAAATCAATCAAAGGAATTGAAAGATTATCAGAATCAATTGAATGAATTTGAATTGAAAATGAAAAAAAATCATGAAAATTTGAAAATTGAAATTTTAAATCTAGAAAAGGAAAAGAAACAATTTTCAAATTCAAAGTCAAAGAAAAGTGAAGAAATTTCAAAGAAATTACAAAATTTGAAACAAAAAGAAATTGAAATTGAGAAGATGGAAAAGGAAATTAAAGAATCAAAATCCAAACAATTAACAATTTCACTTCCAAGTTATTGGAAAAGAAACACATTCCAAACTTATTCGAAAAGATATTACACTGTTGATGTTACACAATATTTAAAAGATACAATGCAAGAAATTATGAATGTATCGTGTAATTCTGCAACACTTGGATCTGGAAGAGATCAATTATCAAGAATTAATTATTCTAAATTAATTGTTTCAAGTGTTTCAAGAATTGAAAATTCAACACTTTTCACTTCATTCAAATCAAGAATGAATCATTTAATTTCATATCAAGATTCAATTAATTCACTTCAAGTTCAAACTGAAAATATTTCAAAAACATCAAAATCATTTGAATGGATGAAAACAATTGGATTAAATTCTAATATGAATGAAAAATATTTATGGCATGGAACAAAACCTGAATTTGTGAATACAATTGCAGAACATGGATTTGATGAAAGAGTTGCAAATTTAAATGGATTATTTGGAGCAGGTATTTATTTTGCAGAATATTGTTCAAAGAGTGATCAATATTGTACACCTGATCATTCCAATGAATATACTCTATTATTATGTAGAGTTGTAATGGGAAGACAAATTCATTTCACAAAACAAGTGATGAATAATCAGAGAAGACCACCTGAAATTTCAGGAAGTAACAATAGAGTTTATGATAGTGTTATTGGTCAATCAAATACTTCAACTAATTCATATAGAGAATTCATTGTCTATGATAAATGTCAATGTTATCCTGAATTTATTATTAAATATAAGAGACAATAAGGAAGCAATCAAAGAATTATTGATTTCACTTCACGATGTGAGAGAATTAGTTCACATCTCAACACAAAATAAATATCAAATCTTATCAACAAGATCATTTCAGATGACCAATAATTTACATTCCTACTAGTTCAATTTATTATTAAATTATGTTTTTTGAAAATATCTAAAAAAGAAATTATCCATATTTGTAATTTTACCATAAATTTCTACTAATCAAGAAGAACAACAATTGAAACGATTCAAAAAAATGTTTCGCCATGTTCAGCAGTGCCGGCGACAAGGCAGTCGAAAGGGTTCTAAACCAAGTTTTAAATCACCTGACAGAGAGAAATTCTCTCCCACTCGACTTGGAATTTTACAAAATCAATTGCATTGTAAAGCAAATTGAAGATCTAGTCGAAGAAATGGGTCTTTCTCAAGTAAATCCCAGCAAATATGATGAATCAGATTATGTTGAGGGATTTGAAGAGGTTCATGATTATGCAGTTCAGGATAATATTTACATTAAAATTCAAGATTTCATAATTGAATATAATAGGAAGATAAGGAAATAATTCGCAATTTTAGCAATATTGATGGTCAAGCATCCATTTATAATATATTACAATTAATTTACAATTAGTTCAATTTTCAATAAATTTGAAACTATTACTATTTTAGGAAATTAAGAATTAGGATTTTTCTGAAAGTGTTCTTTTGAATTTTCCTCTAAATAAACTCAACATGATAAAACACATTAGCATCATTCCAACATCCATCCACAATATCACAATCGAAGAAGTTTCATTCGAAACATATTCCTGAATAAAATTAATAATAATCAAATAAATTCCAGCACAAACAGTTCCAAAACCTCCAGCAAGAGCAGCCGAAGTGGAAGGTAAGACTGGAAAGGTCACGTCAGCAATCATTTGTGCAATGAGAGGAAGTGTTGGAATGGCAAATAGCCCAATAAACAAATGAGAAAATAAACCCATTCCAAATAGAAAATCAGATCGATTCCAAATCATGACAGTTGCAAAACATGCAAATCCAAAAGTTGCTAATAAACTGCTCATCATGGCAATGAGTTTGTAACGTTTCGTCTTGTCAAAGAGAATTCCCATGACGATGGATCCAATCACACTGCAAACCATCATGATTATGTTGAATTTGGAACCATCGAATGGTGTGTATCCTTTCGATTGAATTACTTGATTTAGAATTGAGGCGAATGAGCTAAATACAGAATTGACAAAGGTAAAGGCAAGAGCCAAGTTGATGAAATGAATGTCTGTGATGATTGATTTGACACCTTCAAAGAATGTTTGTTTTGTGCCAATGTCAATTAGTGATAAAGTTTCGTCATTCTTTCGACTACTTTCGTCCTCCATTGCTGGCTCACTATTGATGGAAGCAATGGTTTCTTCTGATTTTGAGCTCTTGAGTAGAATAGGTGGCGTTGGAGGATTTGCTTTGAAAAATACTACAACCAACAATAAATTCATCGTGGCAATCAAAACCTGAGCTCCCAAAAAAGTCAACATTCCAAATTCAGAACCTGACATATCCGTCGATCCAGCAGTTAGTAAACTTGGACCAATTGCAAAAGAAGCACCACCTCCAAATATGGCCATCAATACACTAACCACAGACACAACAGTTCTCTCCTTCTCACCAAACCAATTAAATGCCAAAAGTGTTGCACTATTTAAGGCCAATGGTTGAGCTAGGGCACAGAAAATCTGACCACCAAATGCAATCCAAAAGAATGTTTCGTTTCCCTTTTTGTATCCTAAACATCGAATGCAACCACCAATGAAATTTAACCACGCCACGAGAATCATGCCAAATCTGAGGCCAAACTTTTTGGTGAGGAAGGAACCTGTGATTGAGGCGGGAATGTTTAGGATCATGTAAATGAGGGTCATCATGTTGATTTTCCAGTTTTGGTTTGGAATTTTGTAATATTGCATTGCTATGGTGCTAATTATTATTCAGTTAGTTGTAATTTCTATTAGAAAGTTGACTAAATACCTTATGGACGAAAATGTGGATTGGTACATGATGGAAATTAATAAAGTCAAGCCATAAATTAATAAAATTCCCCATCGTTTGGAATAAAGTTTTGGTCCATTGTTAGTTTTTTCAGATTTTAAACGAGACGAAATCCAACTAAATATTCTCTTCATGCCGTTTTCCTCCTGCTCCAAGCTACTACTACCAACAATAACAATCTCCTCTTCATTCTCTTGCGACATTTTTTCGAATTCATTCTTTTCACACTCCTGGTTGTCCGATTGGTTATTAGAATCTCGATCCTTTAGTTTCATGTTGCGCTATAATCGCTCTTATGGTATTATATTTTTGTAAAGAATAACACCGATAAGAAACATCAAATAAGATCCATTTTATCTCCTCAAATATCAGTTTTCAATTAGAAATGAAATAAGGTCCTTAATAAAATCTCAACGTTTCATTTGTTACACAACTTTGAAACTATTGCAACCTGTTCATGTTACAGGAATGTAATGAACACAAAGTCAATTTATTTGGGATGTAAAAGATGAACCAGACAAGGAATCCTGTTGTAATGGTTGGAAAGATTATAAACCAACCTTAATGAAAGTTCAATTTGGATATTTTCAAAAACAAATTAAAGGAAAACCAAAATGGTTCAATCTCTACTGTTGTTGTCATGATTGTAAATCATTTGCTTCAACAAGATTATCAGCAATCTATTCAGCAAAAGAAATATACCAATATACTATATGGGTGGCAGAAGTCAGGAAGATTGGATTGCTGTGAAAAGAGATCGACCTGATCCTTCTGTCACCTTTTTTCATCTTAAAAAGAAACTTTTAATTGATAATTTCATCTCTCCATGTGTTACAACTAGGATCAATACATGTCTTTCCAGTGTAGACAACTTCAAAGGCAAGAGATGGAATCTTCTTCATATCATTGAGGTGATTATCATCCCACAATGGATGTGGAGATCCTGAAACATAAAAATCTCCACCATTGTCTGCCAAAATCATGCCAAACTTTTTCAATCCTGCGCAAATTACTTGAATTTCCTCTGATAAGAGAGAACAATCATAGGTTGCCTTCATTCTCAATCTCAATCCCATTGGCATGATATTTGGATTCGTATTTGAGGAGGCAAAGTGAGTAGCTGGTAAGATGTAAGCTTTCTGACTTGTCATTACTGTGAATCTGACAGCATGATTGAGTTGTTTCTTTACAACAATTTCGTCATACTTTACAAGTCCTGGATAAACAGGTAAACCAGCCGCATCAGATGAAGTATATCCAAGTGGTCTTAAATTGTTTGACTTCAAATCGAAAATAGCTCCACATTCGGCTGTGAAAAAGTTTCCTCCCTCTGATTCACGATACTGTTTCAAAATAGGGAAAGTTCTCCAAGTTTCGTACAGCTTACAACTATCCTTTTCCAATACAATTATATGTCGATCTCCATTAGAATTAGGGCCTCCCTCAATAGGAGCTCCTTCTGGAAATGGATATGGACCTGGATCAGATTCAGAAGCATAGGAAGTCAGAGTAATTCCAACTTTTTCTTGATCTTTGGTTACAATTACATAAGGAATACCATTCAGTGCACCATCGTATGTCGTTCCAAAGTCTGCATGAAGAAACTTCTTTGGTACATTATTAATGAAGGCATCAGATCGAGGATGAACAGGTAGATTGGAAATATCTTGATTCCATGGATTATCAGAAGGATAGATAGAACAATTGGACAAATCAAACAGGGATGGATCGTCAACTGTTGTATAGCCAGGAACAAACCATGTTGATTGCTTTCCGCTTGGAGGATATCTAACAATGTTTGAACTTTTGGAGAGGGCAATCTTAGAAATATTCAGTGGAATAGTTCTTGGCTTTGATTTGGAAACAATGAGAGCATCACCCACTATGGCACCAATATCAGAAGAATTAATTGAATCTCTGACATTGCCATAAAAATCGCTTGTTATGGATTGAGTTATTGAAGAAATTTGTCCAGAAGATATCACAGGTGAAGAGCCCTTTGGAGAAAGATTATCAGTATCTAATAATGGAGCTACGTTCAAGCTGTTGACTTCGTTTCCATTTCCAAAGTAGTTGGAGATTTGAGTTTTCCAAATATTAAAGTTTCCTGAAAATTTAGTTGCCTTTCTTCCATCCACAAACACGGATGATTTGTTGGAATAATACAGGTTATTGTTCATTACGACAGATCCAGTGATGGATGCTGAAAAACCCTCAAGACCTTCATCAATTCTAATCATGGCACCTGCATTGCTTGGATCGCTATTATAAACAATATTGTTTACAATAACTAGGGAGTCAACTGGAGTAATAACTAAATTTCTATGTTTCGTACTAGCCAAATGAATGGCTGCTCCTTGTGTGTTAGTAATACATGTATTCAGAATGGTATTGAAATAAATTTCACATTGCTTAGCTCCATACATTGCAATTCCAACTCCAAATGTGTTTGAAATAATATTATTATAAACCGAAGAATTATACGTTTCATAAAGATGAGTATTAGATTTTTCAAATAAATCCAAATTATCAATTCTTCCACCAACTAGAATACCTCTATCTGCATTAGAAATAGCATTACCAGCAATTATTGCGTGAGATGACCCTCCTTCTAATTTGATAGCATCGGCAGTAATGTCATGAACATAGTTGTCCTTACATTCAAAGTTATGGGAAACAACCGCATGAACTCCTTCACCTTCGCTTGGATCTCTCATTCCAGAATCATACACTTCGCTGTTGGTGAGTGTGAAATTATCAGCATTTAAGGCAAACACACATTTAGTACCGCAATAGTGAATAATTGAGCGATCTACTTGAATATTATCTGCATCTACTTTAAGAGTATAGAAATATCCTCCTTGAAGATGTAATCTACTAAGAGAACAACCGAAAGCAGTTGATTCAAATCTCAAAGTATGAAGAATAGATGGTGAATAAATTGAAGAAAGAATCAATGCCTCGTATGGATCATTCTCAAATGTTGAAATTCTCAAATAGGGTGTCTTGATAGATAACGATTCATTGTAGGACACTCCAGTGTACCTTATCGTTATATTACTGAAGGGAGAAGCTACCGCGAGTGCCTGTTGAATAGTTTTGAAGGGCATGTCAAAAGTTCCCAAACAATCAGTGTCCGAACCCTCAATATTATGTACATAGTAGGTTCTAGGAGTTTCAAACGAGCTCATATTTCCAGAGCATACGTTTTTACCACTCTTCAATAATAAACTTCCAACTACAGGAGGATAGTACGAAGAATTTGACAAATCAGTTGTGAATAATAGGGCACCAATGTCATTATTGTTTTCTGATCTTGAATTACCATAGAAATCTTCAGAAACTTCAGAAAGAAGAGGTGCTGTATTTCTAGCTGGACTGTCTTCTCCAATGTTCAAATTGAAATCAAGTTTTGGATCAGTTATAGACGAGTTGTAATCAGATTGAATATGAGCTCTCCATAAATGAAAATCAGAAGTAAACAGGTAGCTTGATAATCTTCTATCCATAAAATTGATATTCGCCAAAGAGTTTCCATGGTAATTATTGAAATTACTGTAATAAATATTGAAATTTGAATCTAGTTTAGAGTTATCCAAAGCATCTCCATCCTGAACTCTGATTTCATAAATTGTCTGAGTTATACCAGATTCTGAAACTTGCACAATATTATTCTTAACCATTGGATTGTGATTACTCTGACCTGCAATCTCTACGCTATTGATTGTATGAGGACTAGCAGCCAATAAAATAGGAACTTGCATCGAAAGGGCTGAACTCACAATGGTATTGTGTAAAACTCTAGAATTTTTCGATGCATAGAGACCTACACCACATCCTTGCACATTGACTATAATATTATTCCTCACTAATCCTTCAATAGCTTCATAGTAGTATACATTCTGTGTTGGATCCATATAGGAAGTTTCTTCATAAAATCCTAAAGTAATTCCTAAGCCTCCAATATTAAGAATGAGATTTCTCTCAATTATAGCCCTAAGACCTCCTCCTTGAGTTTTTATGGCTGTTCCAGTGAGATCGTGAATGTAATTTCTACTAATGAATACATCATCTACATTAACACATCGAATGCCATCACCACTTGCTGAATCTTGATTTGGATTACCTGCTTGATAGGTTTTTCTCTTTCCACAATGGTAAATTTCGCTCTGGAGAATGGAAATTCTCTTGGTGAAAGGAGAAAGTTTAATACAATCTGAACCTGTATCATGAATCTTGACCTTTCTTATGGTAACATCTGAAGAGTCAATCATTAGTCCATAGTAGAATGAACCAACAATTTCCAACCCTTCAATGGTTACAAATTTGGAAAAGGTTTTAATTCCCCATAAAATATTACCATTGTTAATATCACTAACAATCGTGACAATCTCATTCTCATAAGATTTGATAGTATAATTGGTTGAAGATATACGAATGGCTCCTTCTTGATAAATACCACCTCTCACAATTACAATATCATTATCCTTTGCGAAAGAGGAATCAGTAACCTTTTTGATGGTTTTAAAAGGATTGACAATGGTACCATTTCCTGAATTGTCGTTACCATTGGTTGCAGATACGTAAATAGTTCTGTATGTGGTTGGAGGTGCCCAAGTTGGCACATCTTTTGGTGGAACAGTTCCATTAAATGAAGGATTGTAAATAATGTTAGTAATGGAATATTTCATGGTTGGATCATCTTCGAAACCATCATTGAGGAACTGTAAGGCACCAATAGTCACCAACTTGGATTTCATTGGTCTTCCAAAGTAATCTGAGATTGTGGAGGGAATATACATTCCTTTTCCGATAGCATTTGAAGTTGAGGTGGGATAATAAGCTATTGGATCAATTAGAGGATTTCCTTCAACACTTCCATAATCCTGATATTTAGTTTGCCATCCTGAGAATCCTCCAACATAACCAATAGTATTTCTCTGATCAGAAAAGAGACCATTCACTCCATTAGCATTCTTCATGGAATAGTAAATATTGAAAGATACATTCATATTACCCTCTAGTCCTCCAACAACTGAATCATCAACATAGCTAGTGAGTGTTCGAATCTCTATAATTCTTTCAGTAGCTGTACCAATGATATTATTCATGATTGTAACATTGGTACAAGGTACAATAGGCGAGTAGCTGTTACTGACCCATGTTTGAACAACATTAATTAAAATACCTGCCTGGTTATCTTTTGCAGCTTTCCAAATAGTGTTGAATAGGATAAGTGTATTTTTTGCAGAATAAAGTCCTATTCCAGCTCCAGAAATATCATTCAGAATATTGTTTCTCACAATGGTATTAACGGCTTGATAATAGAGAGGATTCTGGCTTGGATCACTAAAATACTCTCCAGTCTCATAAAAACCAACTAAAATACCAGCTCCATAAATTTTGTTAATATAATTTCTTTCAATTATTGAATTTCTGGCACCTGACTTGATCATTACTGCTGCGCCCATAGTGTGGTGAATGTAATTATCCTGGATTCTGGTCATGAAAGTATCATAGCAAACAATAGCACTTCCACCAGTTCTAACTCTTTTACCAGCATCAAAAAGTTCATTATTTCTAATATTTACATTCTCACAAAGAGAGTCAATCTTAATTAGGTGATAGCCACTACCGTGTATCTTACAATTTTCAATAACAATATTAGATGCTCCATATTTCAGGTTATTTCCACCCCAATCAATACTGGACTCTAATCTGATTGCATAATCAAAACCTCCCACAAGTTCTACATTTCTCAGAGTAGAATACGAAGAATCTCTTCTAAAATAGAGAGCTATTGCAATGGATGGGTCATTCACAGGGCTAGCAATGATTGCCTTCTCATTTGAGTAGGACTGAATGGTAATATTTCTTCTTGTAATTTGAACATTACCTGCATGAACACCCTCTCTCAACAAAATAATATCATTTGGTTGTGCAAATGTGATGGCCTTCGCGAGGGATCTGAAAGGAGCATTGATAGCTCCAGATCCAGTATCATCATCGCCACAATCAATTTGTGAGCAATTAACAGTCTTGGATTGTACAAATATTCTCAGTGGTAATAAGCCTAAAACCATTGGGTATTGTGGAGGCTTGGTTGGTTGTAATTGGTAGGTTATTGTTAATCTTGGTCTGAAGCTAATAGTAGAGTTTCCTCCGAAGATTGTTGGTTTGATGGTGGTTCCTATAACCTCGCTAATCATGACGCCATTATTCTTTGAATTATCATCAAACCACGATTGTACAATATAAGGATCCAGAGCTATGGATTTGATTTGATTTCCATCATCACTCATTCCACTTTCCATAACAGAATAAGAATTAGATAATACATCTCCTCCTGCACTAATCCATTCCAGTTTCTGGTCGTAATTTCTAAATCTCCAACCTGTTTTCTTGGCCACAACCCAAGTATTATTCAAATAATTGACTCTAATCTTACATCCTTTCACCCAGGCTACATAGGTCAAATCCAATGATGCAGAGCTAATATAGGCACCAACTGGTAATTTACCTTGCAAGTTGCTGAATCTCATTAACGTTCTTCCCTCGAAACTGGTTCCAGAGAAACCAACAAATAAAACATCATCTTCATAGAATGTTTGTCCATTCATTTCATTCCAGTTGTCAATATACATAGTAGAGATGGTTAGAGCCTCTTCGCCTTGATATCCATTTCTTCCATTTTGAAATGAAGCTGTATTTGTTTTGGAAGAAAGTTCACTTCTGTTTTGAATTCAGGTGAAAGTGAAGGATCCTCCTGTTTTAAATCTATTTCAAATGTGGATGGAACAGTGATGGTAATAGTTGGAATGGCACAAGAAAGACCACTTTTCATCTCTGAAACTTGATCTGTGACTGCATGTGATACTTGACCTCCCATTACAATAAATGCAATTACCAACACTATCATTGAGAATATTAATCCATTTCTTGTTTGGGTAATATGAATGGAATTGAAAATACCCAATAACAACAATGCAACTGATGAATAGATAAGGAATAGACCATTCTTCATCAATTTAACAATGACACCCTCCACAAATCCTCTATTCGATGATGCACATGAAACAACCAAAGACTTTTTCGGTTTTACCATAATATGGTGGGTGAAGGTTTTGTTGGATTTGTACTTGTTTGAGGATTAGTTGTTGTTGTTGAATTACTATTGTTGGATGAATTATTTACAGGTTGTGTTGAATTGAAAATGGTTGAATTGTTAGGATTGCTGATATCAGTATTATTATTATTATTATTACTATTATCATTAGTATTGGATTTGATTTCTAAAACGATGGATCCTAATGTGTCATTGAAAGAATAGCCAACAGATCCAACACCGCTCAATCCAGCATCATAGGCAATCTTGAGCTCTACCAATGTATTATCAGAGGAGAGAAGATTACTGCTCCTTGTATTACTAGCCTTCTTTACAATCTTGACTTTGTATTGCAAATCTTGATCCTTATTAACAATAATTCGACTCGCAAACATTTCATAGGGAATTGAATAGACATCTGTTACACATCCCGATAATGAAGATGATGAGGCTGAGCCGAGAACATTGCTCAAAACACTCTGTTATCATCACGAAGAATAAATTAATTTATGGTTGCAACTCTACTTACCATCATACAAATAATGAACAATAACAATACACCAATTGCATGAGACATTTACGATAATTTTTCTTATTAGTATTTGGAGGTTCATGGCGATTGTAGTTATCATATCTATGAATCCAAACCTCTTCTCAAAAAGGCGGTTTTCAAACTACAATGGAATATGAACTACAAATTCTATTTCTTTTTATCTCCTTCTTGCCAAGTAACTGTTATTATAAAAGAAGATGATGAAATGGCTTGCATCAAAGTTATGTTGTTGTTTTATTTTTTGCGGTGGATTTTTAATTTTCACAATATTTATTTTGTAACGGTATAAATCAATTCGTCAAACCATTCAATAATTGAATTATTTGTGAAAACGAAGGCCTCTCCATTGGATTTGAATGCCAACACTGCCTGACAATATTACAATACTTAAGAATACTCTTCACAAGTGCTTCTTTTGATAGGTTTTCACGTACTGGATACAATAGTAACCATTCCTCGAGCTCAATTTCATTTTGAAATGGAATACTTGGTCTTTCTCCTTGTAAAACTCGTGCAATTATATCACCTATTGAATGTTGTAATACATAATTAACCTTCTCCGATTGAGAATATGGAGATACCTCAAAGAATAGCTCCCACATAATAATAGCAAAGCTGTACACATCAACTTTGGGAGCTCTTTGAGATTTGTCAACACCTGAATTACTTGTTGTGTTTGAACTGATAGATTCAGGTCCCATGTAAATAAAAGTGCCAATATTTTTGGTCATTGTAGTATTGGATTGCGAAAGAGGCAAGCTCAAGCCGAAATCAGCAATTTTACATCTATTGTTGTTGTCAAGCAATACATTGCCAGGTTTCTAATAATTTTCAATGAATACAATGTGAATATTTTAAAACTTACCAGATCCCTATGAATTATAGGAGGTGTCAATGTATGCAAATAATTCATTCCTATTGCAATATCTTTAAGGATATTTATCTTTTCCATATATGTCAAAGCAATTGTTTTTGTCTTGCTTGAATAAATCAATTTCTCCAAACTTCCACCTGACAAATATTCAGTTATCATGTATTTGCTGTCATTTGTTATGGAAATTCCATAGAATGTCAAAATACATGGATGTCTAAGAGATGCTAGTAAACTGACTTCAGTTTCAAAACCTTCACTTTGATCTGATTTCAAAGATTTAATTGCAACAGTTGAAGAACCCCAATTACCCACATATACAACTCCTTGACCACCCTCAGCTAATTTCCTTTCAATTGTAAGTTCAGAAATTGGTATGATGAATGATCGTGCTTTCAATTCCTGTCCATAACGCATGCTATCAAGACTATTCTCACTCTCATCAATTAATGGCTGATATGAATCTCCAAAAATAATTTTCTTATCTATTATTCTCTTTTCTACTGATCTCTCAGCATGTTCCTTCTCTCTTAATAAAACAAGTCTCTTTCGAATATGAACTATCCCTTTCATTATACAAATTGTCACAATAATACCGAGACCAAATACAATAAGTGAAACAGGGAGTAAAATAGCAAGAAATAGTGTGAATGAAAGTTGTGAAATCTGTTCACAAGAATAGATATTGGCTACCGAGGCCAATGCAAAAGGTTTCAGTTGTTCTCCTTCTGAACAGTTACTAACAACTATTGATACAGCGGTAATATTCGCAACAGAAATGATCACTGAGTACTCTTCGTCCAACTCTGGATAGTTCACAACATATGGTGTGAAGCTCATTTTGAAAGCTTCTTGCACAACATCAACAAAAAGTCTCTTACCAAAAAATCGTTTAGGCCATATGAAAGGCATTGAGTCTAGAGGAATTGGTTCGCCATCGTATGAATATGCAGTTACATTGATGCTTACGGTTTGTCCTGGCTTGAGAAGTTTCATTCCTTCCAATATTTGTGTGGGAGCAACTCTTTCAGCTAGTGCCAAAAAATTATCACCAAACTTGAAAGCTTGATTGTTAGAGAACGAACATGAATTCACAAATGATTGAGGTAAGCTACCTAATGAGTAGATGGCACCAGCATAATCAGCACTATTCTCGAAAAATTTGGAATTTTTGATTGATTTTAAATTATTTTTCTCAAAATAAATACCTCCTGCCTTTTTTGCCTTATTTCGAATAAACACACAACCTGAAACCTCGTTTGGATAAACAATAATACCTCCAAAAGCAATTGCACCACCATTTCCTTGAGCTATATTATTTTGAAAAGTGCAATCAGAAATAAGAGATCTCTGTAATGCAGTAGCAACAATCGCACCTCCATCTGATGGTGAATCATTATCATTAAATTGGCATTCCGAAATATTCAAGTAGAATATCATTTCCAAAGACATTGCACATCCAGCAGTTGAACATTTGTTGGCAACAAAACGTGTCTTGGTAATGGAAGCCGAATACTTGTAGGATTCAGAAAAAATTGGATTGTGAATTCTCAGAGCTCCAATTCTGTTATTCACAAAATAACAATCATCAATTTTCAACCTGATAACATCCTGAATATATAGTGCGTAGGCAGTATTTAAATAGTTGCTGTACTGATTTCGAACAGTGACATTTATCATTAACAAGTTGTCAATGATTTTGAGTTCAATTGGTGAGGTTTGAGCATTTGAAACTGCCTCGGTTTGAACATTTTCATCGAATTCAACGTTTGCAATATTAAGGTTCTTTACACCTCTTATATTCAGAATTGAACCTGATCTCTGGAAGAATGAATTCACTATTGTGCACGAATCAGAAAATAATATTGCAAAGAAAATATTATCTTTGGAACAGTCAATAGCATTCACATAGCTAATGTGGACTTTCTTCACATTAATAGTAGAAACAATTAATCGAGAAGTTGTAAATTGTCCCTGCTTAAATATGACAATATTGGTTTCATCAATTGATATCAACAAATAAGCATTACTCATCACAATATTATCAAAAACAAGTTGATTGGATAATTTCAGTAGTAAATTGGTCCCAAGGTTATCATTTCCAATAAATTTACAATCTTTGAATAAGGTTAGGAAGGAAGAGGCAACAGCAATGTAAGAATCGAATATTTCAGTACTCTCTACTAGGAAATTTGTTGTTGTGGACATTTCCTGGTAATCACCTTGGAAAATATGCTGTATTTGACACGTTTTCAATTTGCAATTCACATATCCAATATCAAGATTGATAAAGGTTGTCATAATGCCAAAGTTTACCATTTCAAGATTATTAAATAACATCCAAGAAATATCAGATCTATTTTTCAAATCCAAATATATTGTAGGTTCAATTTGAAAATTCAAAACTCTCTTGTCAGAACTTTGGAACATGAAAAAGTAAGAAATCAATGGATTTGATGGTAAATTAACATCCCCATAGGTATTTAACAATAGGTCACTATCAATATTTACAAGAAACAGAATATTAACAGTAACATTTTTGGCAGTCATCGCTTGAATATTTCTATCCATCAATAATTTCATACTGTCAAACAGTTGACTAAAACTATAACAAGGATCATTCTCCGAACAAATTGCTTCTGTATTTGATGTGTTTTTCATCATCAAACGGACAATTATCTGTGAAGCAGAGCTGTAGAATTTGTTTTGCATGGTAGCAATACTCATAAAGTTGTTTTGAATTTCTCTCTTTCCGGAAAGTTCTTGAATATTTACAGGAGGTGATTGTTCGAATTGATACAGTGAAAAAGAGGGAGAGTTTTCCAATTCATTATAATTAATATTTTGTGATGATGATGAATTTGCAGTTGATGTTGTGCAGTCAACAGTAGGCAAACTTGTTAATAATAATAAAATTGCCAACAACAATAACCAAATTATTAGAATCTGATGGTGCTGGTTATTGGAATCCATTTTTTAGAAATGATAACACCCACATAGGTTACCACCATTCCATCTTTCATTATAATTTCGAAAGGTCTCAACAAAAGATATTTTCCAGTTCGGAGACTTTTAAACTTCATACTAAAAAAGCACGGCAAGTCGTGGCGCTAAATTTTTTTTTAATAATTAAAAAAAGCCTTAATTTAAGCGCGGCAGATTGAACCCATTACAAAAAAATCAAAAAAAAGCCTTCAAGTGTTGGTTGCTAATTATCCATCGTAGTGAAGAATAACACGAAATAAATGCAATCAATAATAATAACAAATAATACTTATCCTCATATTTTGGAAATTCCTGATGAGTTGTGGGTTGAGATTTTTCGATGGATCAAGCCTCCTAATAATGAAGAGTGGTTATTCTTTATGATTAACTTGCCGATGGTTTGCAAAAGGTTTTATCACGTGTTGAGAATGTCGGAACAGGGTAATTTCTTTTACAAATTCATGTATGAAAAGATGTTTATGTGGAGGAATAACAAGGGATTGAAGGAAGATGGATCGAATAATTTCTGGTTTGATCAATTGAAGTGGGAAATTAACTTTTACAGAAATTGTAATGTTATTGCAGGAAAGGAAAGTTATAGAGTTGTTCAAGATCGATCACTATTGAAAAATAATGTGATTGTTTTTAAAAAGTCAGTCGGTAGCTCTATTGCCTCGATCAATAGACCACTCAAGATCAATACTGGATGTTACTATTTCGAATGTGTGTTTATGGATAAAATTGATTCGACTGATAACGTTCTTTTTGGAATTGTATTGGAAAATCAATCTAATGAAGGTTATATTGGATCTGATAAGAATTCAGTGGGTTATTACTTTAGTGATGGAGCAATTTATTATGGAGGAAAGAGTGTGAAATCAGGGTATGGTATTAAAATGTACAAACAATTGGTACTTGGGTTGTTGATTGATACTGACAATTTAACTTTGGAGTATGTCACAGATATTACTTTCGAAAAGATTTATTTGAACGTGGTAGCTCCGAATATTGCTGAAAAATTACATGAAAACCAGTCAATTTTACCCTGTGTCAGTATCCTGTACGATAATAGAAGAATGAAAATGAAATGCTTTGAAATCTGTTCCTATGACAAGTGCAGTTTCATTCAAGAAGTAAGACACCAATCTTTGTAAAATACTATCATATCATTGATTGCTCTGAATTAGTTCCAAATCTACAGTTAAGTTTGACTGTTCATTTTGTTTTTCAACAAACGTAGAACGAAAATCATTAATTAGGTAACAATTCACATAAAACAATCATAAAAAAACCAATTCGCCAACTATTTGGAGACCGTCATTGAAAGTGACAGGAGGTTTTCCTCTTCCTTTGTGTGCAAAATGTTACATCCATGAATAATCCAAATGGTTTCAACATGCTTCATCCAAAATGTGAAAATAGAGAAAAGTGGCCATTCCTTGCTGGACATTTGTATTGGGATTGGGCTGAGGCAGTGGAAGACATTGTTAGCATTCAATCAAATGTTCTACTGAAACCAAAAGTTGCTACGTAAGGAATAGAATTGGAAATGACAACTGGTACAGCAATCAAATCAAATACTGGTAGCAATGCAATTTGGATTACTGCATGTCATGGTGGAAGTAAAATTGTCAATAATGTCATTTATGAGAATGGACAAGGTGTATTAATGGAGGTGTTAGAAGAACTCTCCTTCCAAGTTTTATTGATGTTTCTAACAATAATGTCTTTTTTTCAAGAATCGGAAAGCATACAGAGCTGGCATTCACTTACAAGGTGTTGGTGGTCTTGTCACTCAAAACTATCTCTACAATGCTGACCATGTAGCTATCTTGTGGAGTGGCAAATGCTAATCATGTTATTTCACTCAACAAGATAAGCACAACTTGGTTTATAGAATTAAAGGTCCAGGAGCTGGTGGCACTTCTTGTATATTTTTCAACTAAATCTTTTTGAAATCTTTAAGAGCTCCAAAGGGAAATGATATCAGATTCAATTTGATTAGTGGAAAGGCATAAACATCCATTGATTCTTCTGTCTATCAGTACAGTACCTACACGAACAATACTTTCAATGTTCCAAAAACAATTTATGCCAACATCACTGCTTTGAGCTTTACAATTGTAAGCTCAAGCTATGGTGTTAATTTTACATTAATTCCATTTGATGAAATTGGATTGTTGCCACCAAATGCAAATGATATTAAATGATACTAACCCATCAAATGATACCAATCCACCAGCTCCACCTTCCATAAAGCCCCCAACTCCTCAGCCATCTATTAATCCACAACCATCTCCAAAACCTTACTACTCCCCAACTCCACAGTATTATAGTGTTAAACCACAACCTAGCTTAGTACCATCACCACACAAATCCAATGATATCAGGGTTGTATCAGGAAGCGCTTCGAATATTATTTCCTTGTCAATAATATACTTTCTATTGGTAATAAATGATCATAATTCATTTAAACTCGGAAATAATATAATTCAACTGGTTCAATTTCTTGTTATTCAATTCCTTTTCTTCCTGCACTATTTTTTTCCACTTGTGAATTTGCTCCTTAAGCTTTAATGCATTCTTTTTGTTTTCCTCAATTTCCAACATTGATGATTCATCGTTATCCTCACTATCTGAACCTTCAAAAGTCTGAGAAACAGACATTTGTTCATTCTCTTTTGGCTCTTCTAGTTCTTTTGCATCCAAATTGGCATAGAGCTCTTTGGCTGCCCGTATTTTCATATCACCAATTATTAGACCTGTATCTGAAGTGAAATAAAAACATTCACCTTTTGCACAACGGTTACAAGATGGTTTTTGTCTATTGCAGACTTTGCTTCTGTGTTGCGTACAAGGAACACATGCTTTGCAAATAATAAATTACATACATTTGTAATAGGAATACTTACGAGCTAACCTAAGAAATTTGGGATAAATGCAAGGAATTCCTTTCTCAAGACAATGTGAACAAATTGGTCTTTCTTTAAAGCAGTTGATTCTGTCATCTCGACATGCTGTACACATACTTGGCACAACACCAACATCATATTTCGTGCTTAATTTTGTAAAAAGACGAGGAGTAAACTCTTGGCTTAATAATTCTTCAGC